TCGTCGCCTATATGGAGTAGGTGTGTCCCGTTTCCGCGGTGGGCAACGCCAATGTCACTGGGTCGACCAGGCGCATTCTGCACTCGCGCCATGAGAAACAACGGCAACAATGCGCGGTGCAACAATTGCGTAACGCGGTTGCATAATTGCGCTTTGCTCGAGAAGAGCGGAGCGGAGCGGAGCGCAGCGCTGCACTGCGCGATTCTCCCGGATCGCGTGCTGCAACGATCAATAAACTCATTGCATCGCGACGTATGTTTACGCTCCGTGAGCGTTTAGAAGCGCGCGTCTGTTGTCAATCGTCGATTCGTCGCGCTGATTGTTCATGAAAAAAATTGAACGATCTCCTTCGTTTGACAAAAAAAAAAAAATCGCAAGATTGAAATAATTGTCTCATTCGTATAAGTATAATCACGGCCACGAATATTTGGAGCGTTATCTGATTTTTGAAACGAGAGGAGCGAGAAAAGCAAGCGACGTTGCATGCGCTCGTCCCGAAACCTGTTCGAAGCGACGAACGTCTTCCACGTTCGGCAGAATCATCAGGTCTTCGCTTTCGACACGCGGTTTCGTTACTCGGCCGCGATTATCGGCCGACGCACGGTCGCGTCGTACGAGACAAACAAGTCGCGTCGAAATTTCTCGCCCACGACCGCGAGATTTCTTTCTTTCTCTCTCTCTCCGCTCCTCGCCCGCTTCTCTCCATTCAGGAAAATCGCGCGGCAACACGCTCATACTATAGCTGCAGGACGTCCTGGCTGCGCGCGATACGGCAGGCCGAATATCTGACTAGCAAATGTGCATGTCCTGCGCCCACGCTCGCGAAATTCTATCTCGTTAATTGTATACGCGAAATCCGAGCGCGTGTGACGAGGAGAAGAAAAGAGACACAGGGAGGCAGGGAGGAGAGGAACAGAAGGAAGAAGCGTCTCGTCCTGCGTTTGGATACTAACGACGGTGCATTTGCAATTAGATACGGTGCGCGCCGCTTCTGAGAAACGGCATACCGCACCTGAGAACTCCCGCCTTAATGACGACTAACGACTGGCCGACCGTTTGCCGGATATTTTTCTATCCTCGCAATTCTTACCGATTACGCGCGCGCGGTGAGACGATAGAAATAGCGAGTCTCGCGGGAAACGCCTTCCGGATTACGTCATAATCATATTTTCTTCATCTTTTTTTTTTTTGAGAGAGGCTTCTTCGTGGACAAGCGCCCTTTTCATGATTACACTTCTAAGAAAGCTTACGTATGCCACACACAGGGCCTTCAGCACGACCGGAGATGACGCCGGCAGATGTCCGGCCTGCCTGCCTGCCAATCGATCCCTTCATCAAAGTTCAAACGTAAACGTTAGTGTGCACCCCGGAAAAAAAAAGAAAAAAAAGAAAGAATAGATTCAAAAAAAGCATGGGACACATTTTCCGGTTTGCGCAAGTTCAACGAAAAACGCATTCCGTTTTCAACCACAGTACCGCTGCTTTATGATGAGTGATTAATCTTCCCCGTTCTATACCTATTTCTATACCTGAGAGATGCTACGTACGAGAGCCCTTGAGAAAGTGAAAGATCGCTGAAACGTGTTCGGGACACCCTATATAGCTTAAAGAAGTCTAGGCTAGCCTGCGGTATAAAACGGCAGAAACCTTGTTGCACTTTGAGATTTCGCATCGCGCCTGCTGTATGTTAGCCTCCTTCTCTCTCTCCCTCCCACTCTTCAGAGATCGCGATGCTCGCTTTGGAAGACCCTGAACTACGCTGAAGCAAGGAGTATGGAAGCTAGAAGAATAACAGGAGCAGCGTATAAGGCGTCGTCTGATGCGGTGCATGGTGCAGGAGGAACGGCGATGCGAACGATGAGAGGAAGCAAGAGCGAGAGAGAGAGAGAGAGAGAGAGAGAGGGAGAGGGAAAGGGAGATCGAAGAGGACGAAGAGAACGAAAGAGCGAGAAGGGGAGAGAGAAAGAGAGAGACGCACGTAGAGAGAAGCGATGAGGTGGAGGGAGAGGAGCACGTAGCCAGCGCGGCTCGTCCTTGGACTTATATAACGAGGAAGAGACCAACAGGGAGAGGAGAAAGAGAGGAAGAGAGAGAGAGAGAGAGAGAGAGAGAGAGGAGGCTCGCGAAAGAGAACAAAACGCCGCGTGGATGGTGTACGCGGATTAAAAATGAAGGATAAAGGGCGACGGGACGCCACAGAGCCTGCAATCCCGGCCGAAGGACAAAGAAATCCTGGAATTTTGTAAGGTCCACTTAGGACAGGCGTACAGGTCAGAAAACTCACAGATGCACTTTTGGCCTGCGCACGCCGTTTTTTCGGTTTTCCGTCGTCCCTTTTTTTGTCTGTAAAAATCCCATTTTCATTTCAGTTTCGTTTCAACCGCAGGAAACCGTTACTTATCCATGAATAACAATTCTATTTATATCTTCACTGCAGGTATATGGAATTCTCTTCAAAGTTTCACATAAACTTCAATATCTATATTTCTTTTTCCCTTTTCCGTATAAGGTCTTCTATACATTTCGACAGGTGTATATTATAGAGAATACCCTCAACCGAGTCAATATTTCTCGAACAAACGTTTCGCAAAATACATTCTTTTCGCGAATTTAAAAAGCGACATCTCTCGACATTTGTTTCCTTCCCTTATTTTCTCTAGCAGATTTTTTCGGGTATTAATATTCACGTAGTACGAACAAGAATGTCCCCCAACTGATCGCGGATTATCCCACAAGACGGACCGCCGCCGCGCTCGGGGCCGTGACGTCTTGAAAAGCGAGAGGAAAGGCAATGGCGAGGCGACGAGGTATGCGAAGAAAAGAGCGAGCGAGAGTAGAGGGAACTCGAGAGGCGGAGGAGTCGTGGCCGTGATCTCGCGGGGACCGGAATGAATGCAGAAAGGTCGTCGGTTGGGTCGCACGCCGCCGCATCCACCGCGCCAAACTTAGAAACGAGACACGCTCGCTCCCGCGAGCGCAATTTTACTCCGCGCGCGCATATTCACGGCCTTATCGGCTCCTTTCTCTTTCGCCCACCCAAAGATCGTAAATATTTCAGCCGCCGAAACTGCCGAACTGCGATCGGCTCCGCGAAATGAAAGGCAGAGAAAGCCGAAGAAATTGTTAATTAATCGCCTGTTTTTCAAAGTCAAAAAATTCACGGAGTTGAATTTGGCTTGGCGAGAGGCTTTGTTATTCGCGCACGTGAATGCGTATCGCATGCCGGACGTGGAAACAGGGACTAATGAGCAATTTGAACGATGCGAAACACGTATCGGATGGCATCAATCGTTTGCTCGCGATAAAATTGCTCGGATTGACCGATGCGATCAATTCCCCGGGCGCGACGAAATACTAAATTCATCAAACGAATCGTTTGATTCAACAATCCGCGCTAACGTACAATCGCAATTATTAAATCATCGAAATGTCAGGTTAACTATGTTCAGTTCGTTCTTGAACGAGTCAATTGAAGCAACGATTTCGTCCAGTTTTATTTTTTGGAGCTAATGTTATACCCTGAATTACGGTCCTCTACGGTTTCTCTTATATTCAACGAAAAATAGTCTGATTAAATTTCCGAAATAACTTGACTCGCAATAATACTATAATAATACATTATTCAAACGTAGAATTAAATGAGAAATCTCAATAACCTGTAACCCGCACCCCAATCCACTCAATCATACGAGGGGAGGGTTGCGAGGCGAGGCGAGACGGGGACAAAAGTATCCGTTTCTAACCTTGCGGTCGTTTTTCCCCGTGACAAGTTGCTCCGATCGAGAGAGGGGCGACAAAATTTTCCCCGCCTCGATTCATGATCGAAGGGACTGCGGCGGGCGCGCAGGCACGCACACACACACACCGGGGGAGGGTTGAACGGCGACGACGCGGGAGGGTTAATTCGCGGTGGCTTGAGGTAGGGCGCGCACGAGCGGACGGCAGGTGTCGCCACGTCGCGACGCGAAGCGACGCGGCGTGACGGGGCGAGCCGAGGTACACGGCGAAAGGCCGCGGGATACCGCAGGGGGAGAGGGACGCGCGGGCCGTCAGCTGAGGGAGGAGGAGGAGGAGGGGGGGAGAGCTCGGTCAGGCGATAATAATTCTCACGTGTGTGCGGCCCGTGCGCGCCGTTGTCAAACGACACCGTGACTCCGATTCGCCGCGCGCGGTGCCCTCCCAATGTAGGTTAAAGACACGCAGTTACGGCCGCGGCGTTGCGCAACGCGGAACGCCCGTGCCAGTCGCGCTCTCACGGGGTTACGGCTCCCCGGTGTGAACGCGCGGTCGCCGTGTCGCTTTCTCGCCGCGCCGGGTCTACGCGGCGAACGGCGGCGGCGGCGGCAGCGGCGGAGAGGAGCGCGAGCGATCGTAGCACGCGGGCGGATCGCCGTCTCGGATTTCTCATTCGGCGGCGCTCGTTCCACCACGTGCCCGTGAGCGATCCGCAGGATGATGCCCCGGAGGCGTAACGCGCGCGCGCGCGCTCTTTCTCGCTCTCGCTCTTTCCCCGTTCTCGTCGAGGAGAGCGGAGAGAGAGAACGCGGGGGAGGCGAGGGAGAGAGAGCGCGCGCGCGCGCGCGAGAAAGAGCGAGAGGAAGAAAAGAGGCGGAGGAGGAGAAAGAGAAGGAGGACGACGCGCTGGGTACAGTCGCGGCCAAAAGCGCGCCGCGTGACATAGATTCGATCGGCGACGGCGAGATTTTCGCGAGATCTCCCGGGCGGTCGACGATCCGCCGCCGCGACCTCGACGATCGCCGGGCACGACGGCGACGTCAACCGGCGGACGACCGGGCGGTCGCATCGTGGCCGCGCGCGCGGAGACGCGGCTGCTTACCCCGGCGTCGAATGCGGTCACTGAACTAGTTCCGTTTCCGACCCTGACACTGCCATTGCCCCCCGGGGGCGTCGCGCGAGACTCCGTGTCAGATGCCACAATATTGCCGCCGCTCTCTCCCACGCGGAGCACATCCGTAATATATCCTCGCTGTCGAACTTACCCCTGTCGGAGGACTCCATCGTCGCTCTCGCGGACGCTGCGCTGCGGTCCCGTGGAGGCCTCCTCGGGCACGGCTTGGTACGCGCGGCGGGGATCTCGCGCTTCCACGCAGCGCACGTGGAAGATAGTCCCGCTCGTGGCTCACGGCGGCTGCACGGTCGGCGCACGGCTCGAAAATTTTCTCACCACGGTATAAACATGGCCGGCCCGCGCGCACGGCCGCACACGGCTCCCTGGCCTGTCACACAATCGCGATGGGAGGGGGGTCGTTGAACCTTATCGCGGGTGCGAGACGGCGTCGCGGAAGGGCACCGGCCGCGCGAACGTTTTTTTCCGGGGCCTCTCCGGGGAAAAACGGCGTAGCACCGTGGGCTACGGTGGGCGCGACCTAAAAATAGATCACCAATTCGGCGGATTGTTTTGACTAATAATGCGCTTCGCAACCTACTCGCTGGTGGCGCCACTGGGCGGCGAGGCCCCAACCGTAGAGTTCCTCTAGTCAGAGTTGAGACATGAGGCGGAAAGACGCCATGTTTCAGTCTTACCGGAAACAGCCAATAATTCGCTGGCGCAACTTTCAAATCATGGAGATGAATTATATATACAGGCGCGTGCACATGATCGCGCTGTCAAACGCGAACGTTGAGAGTTAAACAATTTCTTACGTGGTACTTGTAGTCGGTTTGCCAGCTGCGTCCACGTTGCGATGTCCGGGAGTGACGTGAAGCAAGCTCTCCGGAAGCTGGACTTCCCTTACTGCGCCAGGGAGGCTCTATGCAGAATCGGTACGAATGGTATAGGTTATCTTGATGCTGCCACAACGGTCTGTTTATCTTAGCTGTGCGCTCTCTGCATTATCAAGGATGCAGCTAAAACAACGTACAGACCTACTAATTTCAATATCTCAATTTTATATCTCGCAGCTATAAACGTACAGATTTACGCGCACGCGTTACTATGTTTTAGTGTATTTGCAATACATATATATACAGTTCTGAGTCTTTCTCCCCTCAATCATGTTAAATTTTCTTCATTGTTTGTTCAAGAGGTACTTTGCTGCAGACCTGGCAAGCAGATGGACCTGCAAATGGACTTGATATCGGAGTTCGTGTTCGGGGAGGTGGAGAAGCGGAAGAAACGCAATACGACGATGGCGATACAGGAGCTGCAGCTGATAGAGATCATGAGCGACTTCTTCCAGAGTCCAGGCGGCAGTCCAGCGGTGCGCAACGCCCTCTTCCTGTCGCTCTTCCCGGCGGACAGTCCCAGACACAAGATCCTAGGTAACCTGGTATCGTTGGCAATCGCTACGCAAAACAAGGCGGTCCTAAACGCAGCTGGCATTTGGATGCAGCAGCTGGGCTCCACCTCGCCGCAGAGCGTGGGACTGGCGAGGCACGTGCTCAACGACTATTTCGTGCTCACGCCGAGATCCATCGACAAGCTGAAGCAGCTGCCCGTGCTCGCGCCGCACTTCACCGCCAATCTGCTGACGGCGATAGGTGAAGTTTACGAGGACAAAGATCCGCCTACCGAGCTGCTCCGATTGGTGGGCGAGTGGATTGACGAAAATCCGAGTCTGCTGTTGACGCCTCTGATGGACAATCCGGCATTGCCCACCGGCGGAATTCCAATGACACCGATAACACCTATAGCGGGCCTGTTCAGGTCGGTTCTTCGTGCCGTCCATGCTTCACATGGAGATGAAAAAACGAAAGTGTCTACTGCAACGAATTATTCCTCTTTTTTTTTCCATCTACAGATGGTGCATATTGAGTCCCTTGCGTCGTGACGCTACTACGGACAACACGGAGGCTCGGGAAGAGTCGCGAAAATTTTATTCAAAAGTTCAACAATTACTCATGGACTCGGTGTTACGATTGAATAACAGCGGTAACAACAAACACGCGATGTCGGCACAACATTTGGCGTCTACTACCCGTTTACTGACAGCGAATCTGCAGAATCGTCCGAACATCGATACGGTCTCGCGCGACCTAGCCATGGAACGACTCGCGCAGGCTGTCAGCGCGGCAATGTCTGCAAACTGTATTTACGGAAATAAACGTATGCATGTTTAATATATATCTTTATGGAAAATATATATTAGCGCCTATATACTAATTAATATAATAAATTTAACATTTGTTTCAGAGGAACTATTAGCCCTGCTGCAACCATTGTCGTATCAGCATTTTTTGATAGAATGGACATTACAAACTTATGCAACTAAGGCGGCTTGAGATGAGGATATTATAACGACGATGACGACGATGACGGTGTAATTTATTTAATCACGACGATATTCTAAATGATTGTTATTTATAAAAAAAAAAACATAAAAAAATACATTCATCAGACAATTGTATCTTTGACTAAAAAAAAAAAAAAATAAATAAATAAAAGATTCTGACAAAACGCAACTGTTTTTAATAATTTTACAATTATACCCTAATATATTACATACAGCAACATTTGACGTACCTAAAATGGCTTAAACGTCCGTTTTTGTTTCAATTCCTGTAGCCTCTTTTTATCTAGTTCGAACTTCTTTCGCAATTCCGCTAAATCTGAAAGGAATATCACACAAAAATCAAACGCGAGTCTTAAAAAAAAACAAAATTATATCACAAATCTCATAATGAACGATTGTACTTACTCTGCTTTTTTGTCTCGCGAATTTGGAAGGTGTAGAAATTAAGTAACTCCTTCTTCTTCTTGCGTTGTTCCTCCTTCTGCTGCACCTTGCCGATGGTAGATTCCTTCCTGGACGGCGCGAATTGCCCTCTTTTCTTTCCACTCGTCACAGTCACCCAGCCTTCGTCGTCTTGCCCCTCAGCTTTCTCTCGCGCGATACGGTTATTTACTTGCTCGTCGTACGAAGCTATGTACTCCTCGATGTCTTGCTTCATCAGTCGCTCGTTGTGCAAAGTATCGTTATACTCCTTACACCATTCTGTTCGAAACAAAAATACGTTAGAAAGTAAGAATACAGACACGTGGATTGTGAGACATATCTATGAATGTGTTGAAAGTGCAACTTACTTTCTAATCCTGTGAGACACACACTTTTGTCGCTGTTCAACGTGACCACGGAGTCCTTCGAAAGTTCCATAGCCTTGTCCAGCGAGGATTCCTTCTTAAAAACGATGTACGCAGTTTTGAACCCTCTCGCACTTGAGAACGTAACGGACCGCACTTGTCCGCAGAGATTATCGAACGCATGTTTCAGACAGTCGGTGGTCGCGTACGGCGGTACGTTCAACACGAAGAGAGTCTTATTCCTGGGATACTCCGGCTCCTGATTTCTCACGGAGTGTTCCTTGAAAAAGAGCTGGTGCTTGTCGGAGCTGTCCGCGTCGAAGCGGATCCACAGTGCTGGAAGCCAAAATAATTTCGTTCAAACACACTTCGGGATCGTGTGCGCTCTTTCGACAGTGTATTTTCACAGCAACAACTTACTTCTAAAGCCTCTCGCAGTCTGTTTACTGGCTTTTGTAACCATCTTCAAAACCTAACCTCACTATTACGGTAACCTATTATTCGCAAATTTTTAACGTAGATAAAAGATAGCTATTATGGAAAGTAAATGACGATTCTCTTTTTTCTTCCCTTCTGGATTTCTGATCCCCCTCAGAGGCGCAGTATCGCACTTCACAAATTAAATTCGTACACCTCTCGACCGTAGCTCGACGGCACATGGCATGTGTTGATGTGTGACGACATGGAATAAAAGAAAGGTTAGGTTATAAATCTGAATTCCGCATACGATTTCGCGCGTACATTTCTAATCTGTTTATCAATTAGAACACGCATGAAAAAGAGGAATAGAGGATTTACTCGATAGTTTGAAATTAGAAAGCTCGGATTTATATGAGATTGCATTGGAAAATAATTAGGCAATTGGTCCATCGCAACTTTAAAAATTTAATTTTTCACACTTCACCGTTTCAGCTCATTTTATGTCTCATTGCAAAAAAATTTTTTTTTTAAATAGATATATAAAATAATAAAAAATAAATATAAGAAAAAATTAAATTTTCCTAACTTTACTATGTTATTTATTTTGATTTAGTTATTATTATCAAATATAAATATATGAAATTAATAATTAATATTTTTCCTGATTTTTTGTGGTTGTTATATATATATGTATATTATTTTTATATAGTTTACAATTATATTATTTTTCTAATTATGTTACGTTTTCTTAATAATTTATAATTATAATATTTTAATAATTTAACTTGAGAGTACAAAATCAGATCCTTCTAATCTAATCTAATCTTAAACTTCTCTATATTTTCGAACAGTTTAAATCTCTTTAAATTCAATTTTTCTTATTTTCTCACTATACTTTATATATTTATCATTTTTTTATTTTTTTAATATAATAACCTTATTAATTGCCCTTTATCTCGTTTTTCCCTTTTAGAAAAAAAATATAATCGATAATAAAAGTCGTTTAAAATCAGTTGTTTAAAAATCCACTCTTTCCTCTAAAAGCAGTAAATAAAAGATAGAACACGTCATTATGTTAGAGTTTTATATTATACAGCGAGTGCCATGAATTGTTATCCCTTCGTCGTTACGTAGCAAATAATCAATTCGATAAACCAGCGAGAACGCGACGCATTGCACATGCATACTACATGCCGCGCAAGCGACATGCATGCAAATGTCAGGGACATGCGATCAATTAGCGTGGATTACTCGATTCAAAAATATTCTCCTTCATTTTTTATATACATTTTCCAGCAAGATAAATGTCGCTCTTCCTTCCTCTTCCCCATAGATAAAATCTAGTACACAATTAATCTAGTATTTAAATGTCTAGCTACAGAAAGCGTTGAATATAATAGTCAATCCGAATAATAAAATAATTTAAAATAGAGCTTTTAGCTACGCTATTATTTTAACTTGTATCTAACTTATATTTATATTTCCCGCAATCGGAACTATATATGTTCGGAAAAATTGGGAAAAAAAAGAAGCAGAAAGATCGAAGAAGAGCACATAGAAAGTATGTGGAGAAAAGATTCTACGATAGCGCGAAATTTCGAGTACGAAAACATTCTCCTATTCCTTTCCTTTTTTTTCCTCTCCTTTCTCGCAACAGTAATTTCAAGAATGTCGACCTGTTTCGTGCGAATATCAAATCGATATACGAGTCATGGCACCGGGAAATATTGATCAAAGCGACCGCTTGGCCGCTGACAGTATGCGTCCGTAGCGATCGCGGGTAGTTATGTGCGGAGGAACGCTCGTCGCACGGGCGTCGCACACTCGGAACACGGGGCTGAGGCTGGGCATTCTGCTGTTGCTCTTCTCGATCGCGCATCTGCCGTTGCTGCGACACGCCGATGCCAAGATACTCGAGGGCGAGTTGATTACGCGCGAGGTAACAACTACCCAAGAATCGATTTTACCGTAAAACGAAACATAAAACGCGAGCGGTCGTTCCGGTGGAGTTTCGATTCGCGCGGCTCTTGCATGGTCAATATTATTGTACGTGTATGAGCGAAGTTTCCACCGAGGTTTCACCTGCTAATAAAAAAAACATAGCTTTAGAAAAACCCTTAATAAAAAAACAACCGAGTAGATTTTCATTAAACAAGTGTGATGTAAAGTGCAAATGTAAAATGAATGATGACGACGAGAATTAATGTTAGAGTAATAAGAATCCTCTCGGAGGGATATAATCACGTTTTCTTTTTATTATTTAAATTTAGCGTTTTAATAATTTAATATTTTAATAATCTCGGCAAATCGAAAAGATTGAAAGGTCAATAATTAATACACATATTAGTATTAGAAGGATCTCCGCAAAATGCAGTGAGACAAAAATAATGGAAAATATTTTGACAATTATTGCATGTATCTTTTGCAATATTCTTTTTTTTTTAATTGATATGCTTTAAATGTAGGCAATAATACTGACCGATGTAAAAGCCGCATTACGCTGTTACCGTTTCCATAGCGTGCTCCAATAAACTCATAAACTCGTCGGAGAAAGATAGGATAAAGAATAACGTATGATGAACGCTTGAAATTTTCAGAACTGGGCATTCGTCGCGAGATTTTGTTTTCTAACGGAGAGCGGTACTTTCCGGTATCACTTTCAATTGGGGGGCGAAGAACGCGAGCTGAAGCTCCTGCTGTACTACGATGGTCCCCATCAATGGCCCACCGTCTATCCTTCCAATAAAACGTGTGAGGAGAAGGAGAGTATTCTCGACATCGACTACGGTCAAATAGTACCACTGAACACGTCGAAGCGCTTTTCATCGGGATGCGTGCGGGGCGACGACGGCGTAGTCCGATGCGACAGCCAGAGGAAATTCATCTCGGCCCGACCGAGATGGTGGTTTATAGTTTTAGCCGACTGCGCTTCCATGAAAGGCCTGAACGTCACGTACTGGATATCGTTGACCAACGCGCCGGCCGGCGCGTTCTGGAAGGAGCACTTCTCCGCGGATGAATTCTGCAAGTAATTTAATTTTTCACGACGGTCGGCGTGTCCCAGGATAGCGTTCCTTAATTGGTGCCCGTTTCTCTCGTTTCCAGACATACTGCCGCTGCTGATACCAACCGTCTGCATGTACATGATATTCATCATCCTCAGTTTCTACATAGCGCTGCAACTGCGCTCCAGGAGGCTGCTCCACGTGTCCTACAAACTGTTTATAGCCTCCTTGCTGTGTCAATTAACGGGGGTGTCATGCGAGCTTTACAGTTACGTTAATCTCGGTCTGAGGGGAGTGCCGGCGATGGACGCTTATCTGCTGGGTCAGCTCTTGGAGGCGTGCTCCGAGACTTTGTACACGATCCTCCTGCTGCTGCTCGCTCTCGGTTACACGATCACCAAAAGTGTCCTCACGTCGTCGCAAATCCGATGGCTTATACTGTTTGTCAGTGTTACTGCACTTTTTCAACTGTCGCTGTTCGGGTATCAATCGGAGGCGTTTGATCCAGGATTGGTGTTATACATGTACGAGTCGCCACCGGGCTACGGTTTAATCGCGCTGAAATTGATCTCCTGGTTCGTGTTTGTCACTCGTTGTTTCAGGACAATCAGAAAATTGAATACGAAGCTCCACTTCTACACTTCGCTACTCTTCTTGGGGTCAGTGTGGTTCCTCTTTCATCCCTTAACGGTACGCACATACATATAAATATATCAAAAATTATTTTTTTTTTAAATAATTTTCGATGATACTTGCATCCTACAAAACAAATCGTCTAAAAAAAATTAATGTAAAAAAATAAAACGTTTCTTTTTCTTCTATTCCTTTAGGTATTGATCAATACTGTATTCGTGGACAAATGGGTGAGAGAGAGCATGGCCAAAGGAAGTTCCCTCTTCATTGTCTTCGTGGGTCATATAATGTTTTTATATGTAACTCGACCATCTGTGAACAATAAACGTTTTCCATTCCACATTAGGACATTCCAAGTTGTGCCCATAGGCGGCCACGGGCAGGATCACAGCTACGAGCCAGGTCCTCGGACCGCAGTTACCGCATTTACTATCACACGAACACCAGCTTACATTAGTCAAACACGATAGCTGTAGATAGAATAGGAAGAATAGCAAAATAGAGACGTGCAACCACTGGTGGAATGCACCGTTAATAAAGCTTCGGCTCTCGAAGAAAAGCAAATGGGTGGCTACTGGAAAAAAAAATTTGTAATGTCAATTGTATATTTTTTTACAATACATGATGCAATGCAACGAATGTGCGCACATTTTTTGCATTGTATCCATCGAGACGGAAATCCTAATTTAGATAGTGAAATAATGTTAACAGAAATTGGTAAACGTTCATATGTAAGTAGGTAGTTTCGAATCTATACGATTTTTCTCTCATCTTGTCACAAAGATATTTATAATAAAGTGCATGATGCAATTTCATTCCCGTTTCTTATTCTAATATAGTAGATTTATCCTCTAGGAAAAAAAAACGACCTGGATTTAGAAAGGTTTTTAAGTACATGTATTGCACTATCAATTCCATTTTCTCGTTGTACTGGCAAATTTAAGAGCAGCGGATTGCCCAATGAAAAAAACCTACAATAGTTATTTACAATTCGTACTGTATTCAGGTCCCATTGTACATTCTAAGACTATCGCAGCTATTTATCAATCACAAGAACCATCCAGCCAACCGTCCCTCCACCTCTGGTTCACCAGTTTACAATCGAATTCCGATTTCCCGATCTTCTTGTTGACCTCGTTGTGGATTCTGCACAGCCACTGGCTCAGTTTCTCCTGTGAACCGGTCTCCGGCGGCGTGTGCTTCAGCTGCTCCTGCAGATCCTCCGCGCATACGTTGCAAGGATAGAACTTGGAGAACGTGTGAAAGAAGCTGTTCATGTCGGCCTTCTGTTTGTCGGTCGGACGGTCGGGATAGTAGGCCGCCATGGTGTGCAGGAAGGCCCAGGTCTTCGAGCCCAGCTCGTCCTTGTCTAAGGGACAATCGTCTCGGGTGCCGCCGTTCCTGACGATCGGCGCTTGCTCCTGCTTCTTCTGCGAACCCTGTTATAAAGCACAGTTTGCGAACATTATATATTCGACAATAAATTTTCTTGCAACATGTAGTAAATGCGAGAAATATACAAAAATGCAAAAAAAAAAAACGATTGTCGCGATAGGAAACGGGATGACGAAATAGAATCCGACACTTGGGCAACGCGTCAAGATTGATGACAATTATGAATGAGCTCGTCGATAAATCGCCGACTTACCTTCGCCGAGTCGTAGACCTCCTTCTGGCGCCTCGCCCACGTTCGGAAGTCCATACACGCGCGACACGGCTTCTCGCTCGACATTTTCGCCAATTCTCACGCGCTCGTTCCGTGCGAAGATCCTCAAGTGTCACCGCAGGCAGGTTAACGTAGCTCTCACGTGCGACATAACCTCTCGCAGGAAGCCTTTGACGTTCCGGGCTCCGTTATCCTTGCTTCTGCGCGTTTGCAACGAAAGCACACATGATGCGGTTGAAGTGAAACGAATTCGTCACGATAATGAAAAGCATGTCTTCGTAATAATACTGGGATTTTTTTAATGTTTTTACATGACCGTGCCGCTCCCGCAGCGGACGAGCCACTCCATGATGCAACCCGACTCGACCTAACCTGACCTAAGCTGACGGCATTCGGCGCTATATACCGAGTGGCGCACGAAAATAATAATCATTTCTGTTCTCGTCAAAAGACTGACGAATGCTGTGCGCGAGATTTTATTTATTTGCTAAAATCATACTCTCGACCAATAAAACATACAACGATATTGTTAACTTTTACGTGCGGTAAATCTGTTATCGACACCAAGATCGGACTCGCATTCTCGTGCATTCTCGCGCACCACGTGTTGCATGTATCACATCTGACATCACCCAGTATCACGCAATGTCTGTTACGAGAGCGTTACAGGGTTAGAATAACGCCGTAACCGGCACTTTTCGGATAGAAAAGAAGCAACGCTTGATTGCCTCTACGCGAATAAGTACACCTCGACGATACTTCCTTAGTTCCTTGCGAAGTGCAAGCACTGTCACGAAGAAATTTTGCGAGATCGTCTCGTTCGCCTTGATCGCGGAGGGGTAAGTGTCCCTAACCAAGAATGCAAAATTTCGTGTTCCAACTTCCACGTGAACTGGACTTGACTTGACTGATGATTGAGACAGACAAGTTGATCGTTAATTTTGTGCTATTTTTAGACTGGAAAACTTGTTGGAATCTTCAGCATATTCTAGAAATACATTTTTTTTTTTAGGGAGCAAATCTCATATATACGGAATAAGGAGTGCATACACACAAAGAAGAATGTCAGGAACATGTATAATGCTCCTTCCCAGCTCCAGAATAACGTATAGCTGGTATATAACAATTATATTATTCTATCGCAGTACTTATATATGTATATATACATTTTCCCCAATTTTAGTTGATTGCTAATTTGTTGTGGTTAATTAGCGATTGATAAAACAGATTTAGCTTCATTTATGTAACAGCATGTATTTGACAAGACAACTGAATATTTAAAGTTTCTAAGATTTAGAAGAATTTGTAGTATTTAATTCAAATTGTATTAAATTGTTCATACAGGTTATCTTATGTATAATAAATTAATAAATTTTGTTGTATAGGCTTCAACAGTCTCGCGCGGCATATTTATATAAAAATGTGATCAAAGATTTGCACGTGCAGAGAGCAGCGTATTACTGCATTTCTGTGAAAGACAAGAACAAACATTTATCTCAGGTATATTTAATGACATAAATGTGCAAGTATTTAAAAAAATATCTTTTGAATAAAAATGTATTTTATTATTTTAATGTCATAGGCAAAGGATTTTGAATACACAAATGTAGCAACTAAAAGATTACGTTCAAATGTTAGATTGGAAAAATTAACACAGGTAAGTACATAATAAATCAGAATAAAATTTCTGGATTATTGAAGATAACAAAAATTTTATCTATTTTAGCGAAGCCTCGATGAATTTGGAGAAAAGTATAGTAACTCTCACAGAATTAATCAGGAAATCGGACTCCCAAAAAGTATGTATAAAATATTTCTCTTATATTATATTAGAAATTAGCAATTGAAATGTAGTGAGATATAAGGGATTTATATTTCATATTAAATTTTATATATTCGTTTTTCTGTTGATAAATAAATATATATACCGGATATATATGTATATATATATCATATTAATTACATGTTTTTACATGTTTATATATTAATACAAGAACAATTTTGAAAGAAATTTAATTTGTGATTATATACACTACATAATTGCTATGCATTAATGTCTAATCATTCTTTCGTCAACTTGTTCCGTATAATTACTGAAAATTATTAAAAATTACAGAAGTGGAGCACTTGTACCCAGATCCAAAATCTTCTTTATTATCTATTTATGCAATAGTAGGTCATGAATTGAATGACCAAACAGTTTTGAAATTAAATGTTAAGAGCGTTACTGTAAATAGATCTAAACAATGGGAAGTTACTGTTAATGTCAAATGGCCAGAAGTTATGTCTTTTAAAGAAATTGGTAAATCCAAATCGGTCAGTACCAAAGCCGCAATTTGGAAGTGCTTGCAGTGGCTAGAAACGAATGGCAAGTTGAAAAACGGCAAACCACTTGTCTACAGTGCCGGCGAATTGCAGGACATGCGAACAAAGCTTACCGAATTAAATGTTACGCCTGAAATTTTGAACAATATGATAGAGCTGATCGAGACTTACGACACGGTAAAATTCGTTACTATTACGATTTTTAATTGTAAAATGCATTTCATTAATGCGTATAACATCTGATGATTTTGATGTGTGCAATATGCAGGAAATTCACAATCTAATATTGGAAGATACTTACAATTTTGACAAAGCACTGTATCGGACTATGTCCGACCAGCATCCGATACTCGAGGGAAATGCTTACACAGATGTTTTCTGTCGCAATAAAACCTTGAGGGACAGATTATTGGAAAGACGTACCGACGCTGTCACCTTACCAATCCACGAGTTTAAGTATGAGAGTGACGGTTTCATATCTACACGTATACATATAATACGCTTCGTAATTTTCGAAATATACATTATCTATTTCACAGGGATAAAATTCTCTCCGAGCTGGAAAGCAATCGAGTTCTACTGATAGAAGGTGACACGGGTTGCGGCAAGACTACCCAAGTCCCGCAATTTATATTGGACAGTTTCGCGCAGAAGGGGAACGCTACGGATTGCAATATATTGGTGTCGCAGCCGCGTAGAATCTCGGCGCTCTCTCTGGCGGATCGCATCGCGCACGAGAGGAAGGAGCAGGTGGGCGACGTCGTGGGCTATCACGTGAGACTGGAACAGGTGCTGCCGAAGGAACTTGGCGCGATACTCTTCTGCACCACTGGTATACTACTGCGAAAATTGCAGAGCAATCCCGGCTTAGAGGGATGCTCGCACGTCATCCTGGACGAGGCGCACGAACGCCATATCGACACCGACATGCTGATGATTATGCTCAAGAGAGCCCTGAAGAGAAATCCCGAATTGAAAGTGCTGATAATGTCGGCGACCATAAATACGCATATGTTTCAACAGTATTTCGATTGTCCCACCGTACGTGTACCCGGTAGACTGTACTCCGTAAAAATGCATTTCTTGGATGATATCGAGCACCTACCGTATATCGAGAAGTACAGAACGTACAGCAACTACGACCGTACCAACGAAAATGAAGACGAAAAACTTACGGTCGATTGTGAGAAGATGGTGCAAGTAATAAAATGGATCTCGTCGCGCAAGCCGCCCGGCGCTATTCTGTGCTTCTTACCGGGATGGGGTGAAATCATGAAGGTGCAGAGCATGCTCGAGGACGCGTCGTTCTATAGTGAAAATCAGTTGATTTTACCGATACACTCAAAAGTATCGCACAACGAACAGCGCAAAATCTTCGAGCGTACGCCGGAGAACGTGCGGAAAATTATCTTGGCCACGGATATCGCTGAAACGGGTATTACGGTTAGCGATGTGGTGTACGTTGTAGACTCCGTCATAAAGAAAGAGTCGCGGTGGAACGAGACCAAAGATGTACCCAGTATAAGCAATTGTTGGGTCTCTCGGGCAAACGTTCTACAGAGGTAATTATCGAGAATCAGATGTATCGCAATGTCATAAAATCACGTTGTTCGCATTCGAGGGAAGAAGCGTAAATATTTCAGAGAAATTGCATTTAAATATTATTTTAAGATAATAATTTGTTAACGCAGGAAAGGGAGAGCTGGACGAGTTAAATCTGGCGAAAGTTATCACTTAATCTCACGAGAGGACTACGAGAAATTACAGGCGCATCCGATACCGCAGTTGTTATGCAATCCATTGGAAAAGGTGGTTCTCGACAGTAAAACGTACACGGACGAGAAAGCGGAGGAGTTTCTGAGTGGACTACTTGAACCGCCTACTTCAACTGCAATACGGAAGGCGGTAAGGACCTTGGTAAATCTCGGAGTTATGGACAATGAGGAGAATCTTACGGCTCTAGGCAAGCGAATTGCGCATTTCCCAACGCATCCTAAATTCAGTAAAGCTATGGTATATTCTTCCATCTTCAAGTAAGTTCAAAGTAGTTAATATTCGAATCGATCGTCTTCCGATTATTTTTCTGTGTGAATAAATATTTACGTTTTAACAACAGCTGCATACATCCGGTGGTAACGATAGCCAGTATTTTCTCTGGCGAAAATAATGTTTTTTCCAATGTATTGGATCAGAAGTTTAAAATCAGGGAAAATAAAAGAATGTTCCATCCATCCAGCGATCACGTCGCAATGGCATGGATGTTCAAGCAGTGGTCTACATACAGAGAGACAAGTCCCCATTTAATAATGAAATTTTGCAGAGACATGAAACTCCGACCGATCAGAATACAAATACTGAGTCGTAAGTATTATCATTGTATGTTACAAATTATTGCTCTTTAATGATTGTCATGCGCAGCCATTAAATCAAATTCTCCATTTTGATAGATCCTTTTTTAAACCTATACGAAATTATAATTTTGCAGAAATACGAAATACGTTTATTCAGCAGTTGATATCGTGTCACATGCTGACCAAAGATCCGTCCCATTACGATTATATTAAAGCTAAAGTTGCAGCAAACAAATTTGAAGACAACGACGAGCTAGTGCGAGCTGTGCTGTATTCCGCTACGCAGCAATTGATACAGCATAACAATATGGGAATTAAGAATGGAATCTTAAGGAAGGGCGTTAACGATCTCCGAATACAGTAAGCGAATTTTGCATACTCGAGCTTAAAGATTCTCTCGTAGCAATTTCATTTATAACTTTACTTTTAAACAGAGGCCGTTCTAAAGCTGTAATTTCGGGAGAAAGTGTTAACTACAAACGGAAAGTTTGGCCGAGTTCCTTCTTAACGTACTTCAACGCCGCGCACTGCGAGATAAGACGTAGCACGGTGATTCGCGAAACAAGCATGGTATCACCTTTGACAGTATTACTTTTTAGCCGACAAGAGCCTCGATATTATGAGGTAATTAAATGATTAATTCTTATGATTAAGCGCAGCATTGTAGCGGAGTAAACAACATTACACAATTTATAATATATATTTCTTGATTTTTAGCTGGACGATAACAAAGTAGAAATTGGGATTAATGTTAATGCGCAACAGCATGTAAAATTTGTTTGTAACAGAGAGTGAGTATTTATATATCTTTTCTTTTCTTTAGTATATAAATATATAGCGCATAATAATCTGTTAAAATTTTTTTTTTTTTTTTCTAGAACTGCTAATGTGCTCTTCAGATTTAGAGACGTTATGTGGTCTCTAGTGCAGTACTTATTGGAAACGAAAGGATTCGCCGAGTATAGAACTGATCTTAACTCAGAACAATTGTTAGAGTACAAAGAGAAATTATTCAGCGTATCAGAGTACAAAGAGAAATTATTCAGCACTCTTGCGGAGACCCTGCAGTTGTCGGCTAAATCCATAGAAAATTCAGACAAAAATTCTTTTTCTTAAATATATACAATATAATAAATATACATAATAATAATGTTAAAACTGTGACACTATCTCGAGCAACGTAAAGTTACTTGTGTTATGTTTTTATTATTATGTACTTGTTATATGTATATTTGTGTACAAATATATCAAAAATAATGTATGCATATACATATTGACAGGTTATGTATACATTTATGTATGTATATATATATATATATATATATTTGATAGCGTTAAAAAGGTAAAGATAAGTAATAAATTACGTAATTAATAAAAAAATATATAAATGCTAAATTCTTTATCAAAGAGTACAGTTCCCTTTCTCCTCTATTTCCTCTTTCTTCTTGGTGCTTGTTTTTCGCGATCTGTGAGAAAAATAAAATTGCCAAAGCTTTTTTTAAAGCATCACAAGAATATACGATTAGAGATAAGAAACGGCACTAATTGAAATTCCAAGAATTATAATTGTAAATCGAAAAACCGTTGTGTGTACAATGTGTTATAATTACAATGTATTATACTTACATGATGAATTTTCATGAGAGGAAGAGGATGTGGAGTACACATGTTTGCAGGAGTAACGCATGTATTAAGTACTGCATCTTTCCCATTAACAGTTTTTTTTTTTATAAAATAGTAAGAATTTGTTACATGTATATATGTACAATCACAATGTGATGCTTTTTGTAACTAGAACAACAACGTCGATTCGATTAAATGCTACGAGATGCTGAACAATGTTTTGTCACGCTGTAAAAAAAGTTGAATTATTATTATTTGATATTTCGTTAATAGACATGCTCTCAAATCTCTTTATTAATATGTAATTTTATTTTGTGCGAAGCGCTTTTGATACACCCAAAACCTACCGACACCAACTCGCGCCAAAGTGGTCGAGTAATTATAAAAATTTGTTCCCATAATCTTTTATGCTACGTTACGATCGTTTTACGAGCGTTTGAACAAGATACAGAATTCGATTCGAAAATTGATGAATTATGTAAAATTAGCTAACAGCTAAAAAAATTTTGGAAAACATTAATAATTTAGAAAATATAATCTCGTATAATTTCCCTGAATTTGAAGGTTTATAACACGATAAATATTATGCAGTTACAACTATCACTGCATCTACATTTCCTTTTAAGTGATTGATACACAATAAATTAATGTAAATCTGACATTAAATAAAAAATTAATATATACTTCTTCTCTTGTTCATGTGCTGACGAAAATGTTTACGATCATAACGGCATATACATATACATATATATGTGTATTATATTATTTCAATTAACAGTCCATAAAATATATGTATATTAAAACAGAATATTATAAAATGATGTTAAATAGAATATGTAAATTAACAATATATATTAAAATCTATCTCAAATATTTATATACATTTGGCAGGTACATGGAAGCGTGCGCTTCTAATATTACAACAACTTTAAAAAGTAAATAGAAATATATTAATTTAAACTAATTATTAAATATTAAATTATAAAATTTTGCAAACAAAATAGTAACATGGAAAAAATATATATTATTTCGCTAATATGCAAAATCACTTGGAGTACTAGCTATAAATAAATCTTACGAGGATTAGCATGTGCAATGAAAATATTTTTAATAACTGCAATAATCGTCTAGAATTTTGATAGCAATTGGAAATATGAGGAAATAAGAGGAGGAACAATAACAATAATTAGTATGTAATAATATCAGCAAAGTATATAAGATATTAATACCTTTTTGGCAAGATATCATTACTCTTGACTTATTTACATAAATTATTCTCCCATCATTAACTTCCTCAAAACATTAATCTTCTTTAAAAATAATGATTTAAAAACATCTGGAAAAATTATGCTTAAAGTCGTTCATAATAAAAAAAAATCTTAATAATTAATTATTTATTTATTTTTATCTTCGCGTTTCCGTACTTCTGTAGAAATAGTCTTTGCGTATTTTGTGAGTATTCATTGCCATAATATATGACTCTATTCTAACACATCAAAAACATATCGTGCCTGTTACTTAATTTATGATTTGTGCAGTTTCCCCTTATTACGGACTAATATTGCACTTCCGGCCGATGATGCGTCCAGCATATCGTTTCGATTGCAGCACAGCTACTACAATTTCGATCGTATTAACTGCAAATCATCACTTAAAGAAAAAAAAATATATATATGTATATATAAGTAAGCGTTTTCATCGTTACCTAAGATAAAAACATTATCACTTTCTCTGTGGAATTATTGTCTTGTCTAACACATGAATTAATAAAAAGTAATAAATATAAATAAATACATAGGATACATATACAAAATTATTTTACGAATATGAGCAATTGTTATAAAAGTCTCTCTCTTACACATATTTCTTTAAATTAATCTCAAATCGATATAGAGAACTAGTCATGCCTAATCATAATAATCTAAATGTGTTTCTCATAAATATATTTTGGACTTCCGCGTATAAAATTTAGCTTAAAAAATATAATTAATATAAAGAAACATTTATAGTGCACACGAAAGTCTTTTAATTGTCATTTTTTGTAGACTGAACGAAGAGAATATATCATTTACCCGCTTGATGAACTTTTAAGCACGCATGGTGCTTTGTTTACTGTAATATCTATAAAACTATCATGATAGTATAAATTATTTATTTAATAATAAATTTGTTAGGTTTTGTAAAGTTACCTTCTTGCTATACTGGCCTTGAAACTTTTCTGCAAAGACGCAAAATTTATTTAACGTTTCAATTTTATTAGATTTCAAATTTAATCCTTCACAAATTTGAATCCTTCAGGATTCAGCCTCGAAAATTTAATAGCACAAATTCTGTTGTCTTATTAATGTTAGACTCGATACCCTATTATCTAGTACGATGGCAAATCGTTTTTGATTTCTACTTACGCTCTAAAAGTAACATTTTATATTGCATCCTAACACTGCTACACAATAAAGTATCGCCAGAAAATATACGTAATAGAAATAGAAACAATTCCTATAAGTTGTTATGATTTTTACGATTTGATATTTTTACGTAAAAGATTTACATATCACGATATGTGCTCTTAACAATAAAATTTACATAATTATTCATAATAAAATAAATAATAATTATTTTATCTTTGTGCCATCGTTATTATAGAAACTATCTTTGCGAATTTTGGGAGTATTTCGCAAAAGATGTTATAAATAATTTTATTATAATAAGTTATTTTTCCTATATTAATAATTTTACTCGACTAAAACATCGGTACTAAGATATTAAGTATTGGTACCTTATAGATCCTACCGGAGGATTCGTAGAGAGATCATCTACTTCGATCGGAGACTTTGATCACTTACGATACCAACTTGCCGCACTGACCGCTACAAGGAGGCAATACGGTGACGAGACTCTCGGTTTCGCTGTCGCTCGTGCTGAAATTCGCTCTCTCCAAAACCACCGCGCTCTCAGTTCTCGCGCCGAACGCCGGCTGATAATACGACGGACTCTTCGCCCCCAGATCCACGCCGGAATCGGCGCTCTTAGAGATTTCTGACAGTCTGCGGAAGTTACCGAAGAAAACGCTGTCCGTGCCGACGCTCTCGGCGCCGCTCTCGCTGGCGCCGTCGCACACCGACTCGGTCTCGTCGGTCTCCTCGGACACGCTGCTCACCTCGTGCTTCAGCAACCGCTTGTGCGAGCCGTTGCTGTCGGTGCTACTAAGGTAACCGCTGTCCTCGACCTTCACGTGACCACGTCGATTGTCCACCAACGGCAGCACGTTCGAGTTGGAATCGCAGCTCTTCGAGAGACCCTTCGTCAGGTGTCTCGTTTTGGAACAGTTATGCGCTCTGCCGTTGTTGAGAAGCTTATCCTCGTCCTCCCGGCAATGATCGACGCTCCACGATCGCGTCTTCGAACTCCTCGCAGAGCTTCTGTGATGAGCGGAGCCCGTGACCGACCGCTTCTCCCGCGTCACCTTCGCCCCTCGCACCGAGACTTCCTCCTTGTTGGAACCAACGTACCCGTAGAACCTGTACCTGTCCTCAGGAACCTCGATTTCAATCCGCGTCTCGCACGGGCAGTCCCTGCAACCGTTCGTCACCGTACACTCGCCTATTCTCTCGCTGAAGAACGTCGTTCCCGTTAAGGGAATAACGTTCTCGCGATGCTCCTCGTACTTGGTCGCGTCGACTTGAGTCTGCGACACGCAGAGGCAGGTCTGGTCCCCTACATGGTATCCGTCAGCTTTCGGGACAGGAGCGCCGTTGCTGGCCGTAGGGTCACCCGCTCCGACAGGACTCCCGTCCCAGACGTTTTTTGACGGCGATAACGGCGGCAATCTCACTTCCTCGACGCGTCGCGGTGGCTTCGGCCGCTGGTAGATCTCCTCCTCCGTGGGCGGCAACGGCACCACGTCCGGTTGATTGTGCGGCTGCCGTTGCCTCTTCGCTTGTCTTCTGTCTGGTGTCAAGTACCTGCATTTCTTCCACGAGTGATTACCGTCGGACTCGCCGTTCATTTGACATTCGGGATCGTGACCGTTCGTCATGTGCGGCTCTTTCAAGCTCGATTTGATCTTCGCTTCGTAGATCTCCCGTAAACTGTTGTGGCTACGTGGCGACGTGGAATTCTCGTCGCGGAAACTGCTTCTGCTCCTGAGAAGGATCTGAGGCGGTCGCTCCAATGAGTCCACGTAAATCTCGTTGGCAATTTCCCCTCGGCTGTACTGCATGTCGTCATTGATCCGCAGCTTCATCGGCTTTCGGTCCAACGTGTCCGGCTCGTACTCGGACTCGTCGAGCTTCACGTAGTTTTCCGGCGAGTCCTGGACCTTGATCGTTAGATGACCCGGATTCTCCGGCTCGTATTGAATCTCCGGGCCGCTGTCGTCGCTGCAGGCTGGACTGGCGTAGCCGTCGTTCACGTAGACCTCGCTCACCAGCGAATACGTCTCCAACCGCTGGCTGCTGATCAGCTCCGGCAAACTGCTGTAGCAATTCCTCTCGGCGAGAATCTGATTGCTGAGCTTCGACATCGTCATCTCGCCGGTTCGCGTGTTGATGATGGCATTTTGCATCGTTAGCTCCTCGTCCATCGGCAGCGCCGTGGACATGGCCGGACTCGACTGATTGTCCGTCGACGACTGGTCCGGCGACGTCGACGACTTCCGAATGCACTTGGAACGTTCCAGACTGTCCACCTCGTAATCGCCGATCGCCGTAGTACGATCGGTCGGTTTAGCGTGATGATGGTCCAACGCCTTCACGTCCACCATCTCGCGTATCACGGCGTCCATAATACGCTTGGCGGTGTTCTTCGCGCCGGGTAGCTCGTTGATCATGTCCGGGAGTTCCTTCTTCTTCGGCGTCGGCACGCTCGGCGCCTTTGACTTCCTCGATCTTTTCGGCGCGGGATTGCTCGACGATTGCTGTGATCGCGACTTCTCCGATTTGTCCGTGTTACTGGATGATTTCTCCGTCTTCGCCGACTCATCTTCGCTCTTGCTCGTCCTCTCGTCTTTCACGCTCTCTTTCGTCTCGCTCTCCATGACCGCGTTCTCCTCCATCTGCTTAATGAAGGAATTCTCGATGGCCTTGCGGACTTTCGCGTTTATCGCGTCGTCGCCGGCGGTGATTTGGAACGGTCTACCGTTCGCCCGCTTACCGCGGCCGTAACGCTCGTGCTCGGTTCCCTCGAACATGGACCTGGTCGACCGCCTGGACACGCTGTGGCGATCGTCGTTCTCCAGAATCTCGCTTCTGGCGGCGATATTCTGGAAGGTCCTCAGCATCGGCGGATTGTCCTTCCACGACGACACCGACTTGCCGGCCAAATTCGCGCGATTGTCCGGCTCGCCGAAGTCGCGTCTGGCCAGCTCCTTCAGGTACTCCAGATTTCGAGCGAACGTTCGGGCGTTCTCCTGGAAGTTCCTGCGCGTGTCCTCGGCGTCCCGCCAGCGACGCTGCGGCGGCCGCACGTCTTCTAACCAGGCGCGCACCTTGCTCTCACCATGGCTGGGCAAATCGGGTACGGGAAGAGCGGTAAGCTGTCGAGGGGACTCGCTGCTGCAGCCGGGACATCCGGTGCACCGTTGGGAGGACCTGCGTGACTTCGCGACCGAGCCGCCTTGAACGGAGCTCGGGGTTGTTCTCTGCTGGTACCTGCTCGATTTTGACGATTCGCATCGTTCGGAAGCGCTCTCCTCTTCCGGAATACCTGCGTGTCAGATTTATCCCGATGACGATGACGAAGCGAAAATTTAATTATTCCTAATTACAGTGAGTGAAAGTCAAGTTGCTTTCGCGCATTACAAAATACTTCACGTGCTTTCCATCGGACGCATGAAATTTCATGCGACTACGAACGCACGAAGAATTCAAGAAATCGAGACCGACAAGGAATAAAATATGAATAAAATTGGAAATCTGCAGATGCAAGAACGCGACGAATACCCTGAAAATGCGCGAAAACGCTTAAACTACTGAATTGTACTTTCGCGATTTCTATTGATTTCTCTGTTTCTGAGCGAGGAAAAATATTAATTTATTTTATATTCTATACTTTTTAAATTAGAAAAATTATATCTTCTACCTACATTACTACATTCTACATATTATTTGCTCGTTCTGTCTTACTATTTATTTCGAAAGTCTGATCTCTCTCTTCGAAGAGCACAATTACACTCACCGACAAGGGTAGGAACAAATCTTTTTGCAGCCATCTTGTGCTTGGCGATGGAGATGACTTCTCGGATTTTGAGCAGGAACTCGATGGCAGCCGGAGGTGGGGCCTAGGAAAACGCCGGGCTGTTTTCAAATTATCTTGTCGCTGGTCGAGTGCATAAGAAACGTAGACGAATCGGACGGACGTCGAGGGTTACGTCCATTAAAAGCATTCCGGACTTCGAAAACGCGCGGATGACTAGCGCGAATGGGAAATAAGCAACATTTTTCCCCCTGCCCGCCGCCGTCGCCGCGCGCCGCGCCGCCACCACGTTTAAGCAACTCACCAGCAATAGCTGTCGATCGAAGTACGCGGGATTGAAGTACAATTTCCTCCGTTGAGCACCTGGAAGAACCGGTACATCTTGCTGATGGGGATTGTCAGCCGTCTCCACGACCCGTACATCCTCTTCCGGTAGCCTCTCGCCCAGAATGGAACCCGCGGGGAAGGGCCCTTCCGATTGCTCCAGATGCACGCAGTGCGGATGAACGAGCGCGGACGTTATCTGCTGAAGAAGCGTGCGACATCATTGATGAGCTGGACGCGAGAACGAGACAATTTCGTAATTCACAAGGCCGCCCAGATCCGGTCGACTGAACCGGACGTTACGAATTAATGAATCTTACCTCTTTCCCCGCGCCGGGTTCCTTCCGATCTTACTATACTGGGTTTCGATCGATATTTGCCAATTAACGACATTGTTACACTGAAATTGTTCGGCACGGGACTAGATCGTACGAGGACGTGACTTCTTCTGGCGGCGACGCGACTTACGCTCGCGCTGTTTCAGCAAAGAAAAGAATTGCGCTACGCGGAGACTGGAAGCGGTTCGCAGAACGCGCTGAAATCGCGGTGCGTGGTATTCTAACAACCGGTATACGGCGTAAAAGTGGGATGTACCTCACCTACTTGGAATGGTACGGACTAACGGAGCGCAAAACCAATGCGCTAATTGGATGCATTATTAAACGCGAGCAGTGGTCCCGGGAGAAAGAGAGAGACGGATGGTTCTCTGTATAGCACTAGCGATCTTGCGAATCGCGCGAAGAGATAACCGAAACAATTTCGTTGCTCGGCGCCTTGCATTTGAATAATTACGTAACATCTTTGGTATGATGTAAAACTCATTTAATTACGATAAAATAAATATATCTACAATCTGCTGCTGGCAAATCGAAATTTATCGTAGTTCTTAATCGTCCAGGAACATTTATTTATGACCTGCGCGAAGTACAATTTAGATAAAGTTATACTCGACTTAATTTAGAGGAGAGGAAAATTTTGCAAAATTGAACAATTGAATGAGAAATAACAGTTCGTGTTGCACTTACGTTTTCGAAACCCTGCTCGTTGTCGCTTGCAGGAAGATCCTCGCCTAAATCGCTCTCGGTGAGACCGCTATTAGTGTCGCTCTCGAAGTGTCTCGTGGCCGCCAACAACGGATTACTCTTCACTAAACCGCCGCCGTCTCGACCGCCGTCGAGAGTGATGTTCGCCTCCTCGATGGATTTTCTCTTCGCCCTTCTGCTGTGCAAATATAACGATACGCTGGCCACGTATATGAGAGCCAGGATTACCGAGGAGAGACCAATGGCGGTGTATTCCGTGGCTGATAAACCTTGCGACACTTGGGATGTCGATGAGAACATTACTTCTCGTACGCCTATTGCGAGAAGGAAATGTATGTTTAGCGAATCGTACGTTTCTTCATGATGCTTGATACTCATTTTTTGAAACGTCCTCATTAGCAGATATTATATTTGCACATATTCGCACGTGAAATTAAATCAACATCCCAATTAATTTTACATTTCAATGAAATAAATATACATTTTGCAATAAATATACATATATTTTTTAATTCTCTAGAAAAGACGCGTGTTCTTCTCTTTTATTTTCTTTAAATATATAAGGCCTATTTTAGATAATCTGCAGCAATCCGTATATAATGTAATCCGGATTTATAAAGAAATAGCATTTTATTTATTATAATTGAATACTTTGATACAAGTGTGCATATTTCAATAGACACATAGATATATTTTTGTACTTATTTTATTTTTTAAATTAATATTTTATATCTATATTTTTTATACGTATGTTCTAGTTTTTGTCTATTATATAACGGCATAAAATTACAAATGGAATAATAAATAATATCTCAAATTATAAATTTGGAGCAAAAAAAGCAAAAAATTTATAAAACGTTACGCACATTCATATTGTTTCTAAAAAAAAAAATAAATTAAAAATTATGATTTAATAATACATAAGACTCTTAGACTTAAACGATTAGTAATAGATATTAGGATAGACACTTGGAGTCAATAACGCGATACTTAGTGTGTGGTTAGTACATCGCTGTATTAAGAAATATTGTATTAGAAAATATTGTATTAAATTAACCACGCACTCTAAGTACCGCATTATTGACTCTAAGTGCTTATCCTAATTACTAATCGTAAAAATTATAAGCCTCTCTTTTTTGAGCTATATAATACGATAATCTCTTATCATACATACTATTTTTCGATGGTGAGCCGGCCACTCTAAAGGCCACGCAAGGTGTGAAAACCCCAGAGAACGTTGACTTCGGTGACGCGTCTCTGCAGACAAGCTTGGCCGTTACGACTCGTCCTTCCGCTGCTTCTCTCAGCCCGGCCTCGCCAATCCACTGAAACGATTGATTGATTGATGAAATGGCTGACTGATTGACTGGTAAAATGATCAATCATGTATACTAAATCGCTAACAATATGTCAATCTTTATTATATATTTATTAGAAACTACGAAACGTTGCATGTAATATGCAAAGAGATAACGGCAAACAATAAATAGAAATGAGAATATCTATCATCATTTCGATATGCAAAGGGAATTCTCGTCGTTTTACTTGAACGCCACCGTAACAAACGGTAAATGACAGTGTATATACACACTATATATATATATATATATATATATATATATATATCGATATGCAAAGAAATTGTTCCTTCGTTTCCCTCGAACGGCGCCCGCTACGCGGGCTAATTACAGTAATCGAGGGGTATCATCGACACCAAACTGCGAAATTTCTCCCAAGTTTTGTGCGTCCCGAGCAGAGGTGATACGGCCGAACCTGCGATTTTCGCTGCACAAACGGGCGGTAACGTAGATATTTCTCCCGATCCGAACTCCGTTCGCTACTACTTACACGGCTAATTGCGATCTTACACTCGCGTAATGATACAGAGCGATAAGTAACTTTCCTCTCCTACCAACCTGGAGGAACGTCCTGCCCTCGTCTCGGAACAGTCTGAAGGGCGGCTCGGTGTCGGAGAGATTCCTCAGCTCGGACCATCCCGCCCTGCCCAATTGCTGGGCACCGGCGATACCGCATACAGGAGTGGTCACACCTAGTTTCGGAAAGTAATTTATGTCCATGTTAAACGGTCGAGGCAAGAGAAACGAGGCGGAAGATAATAAGCGGAATAAACGCCGACGGGGGGGAATCTCGTTGGAGAGGCGCCGGGTGAATTTTTATGAAGGCTCCGCGGTAAATTCCGCGTATTATCCCTTTTAGCCTGAGAAGAAGCAATCGCGATCAATTCGCCTCTCTTGTGCTAGTATTAATAGGTATCGTTATTTTGCCAAAGTTTTGCTTCATGCGCGAAACAAATGTCACTTTATTTTTCGTAGCGAAAATAGTGTCATATTCGATCAACTAACTTTTACTTAACGCTGGAAACTCACCTTCGAAGCGAATCTCCGCGTGAGGATATATTATCTGCCCTCGCTGTGGTAAGAAGACATACGGTACTCTCTCCACGTGGCCGTTGCTGTTGACAAACCCAGCAACGTTGCACTCTAAACATCAAAATATCATGCATTAAAATCTGTTAAAAAAATATTTGTGTCAATTGTAACATACATTTGCGTATAACTCTCATCTCACTACAAAATTGATTATTACATAAATCTTAGATATTGATACATGAATATTTAATATAAAAATCAATCTATTCAATAAAAGAAGCTAGAAATATGTTAATTAATATATTAAAAGAATTTATTTAGTATTTCTTATCGGCGGATTATAAATTAAACACAATTTTTTATTGATCAAGAAATCAATTAAATTGATAAATTAATTTCAAATCAACATCGAAGTAGTTTAACAGAGAGATAACCAGATGGCAATTTTATATATTATGCGATACGAAAAAGCTATGGAAACAGTAAATATTATTTTGCCGTGGATTATAATTTAATATAAGATATAAGAAAAAGCTACGAAAACCGTAAATTCTACAAACGAGTTTTTCAGGAAAATACAGAATTAAGGTTTCTTTGACGACTAATTTTTTTCTGTGCAATCGCTGGTCCATTTTACCCATCGTTTCGGTGCGCAAGACAGCTTGTAATTTCGAGCAAAATATTGCCCTCGGCCGACTCCGCTGTTTTGCCCGCATTTGAATAAATTACGAGGATCCGGCTTACACCGAAAATCTCGCGCACCTCGGGGAAACACGAGACGAGAGCATGCACGAACACGAGCTCCGACTGCGAGGAGAGCTCTGCAAAATCGGACAGTTTCTTTTCTTTTTCCTTTAAAACGCGAAAAACACAGTTCGAAAGCATAACGAGATGTCTTTGAGAAGATGCGCCGTAATCATATGACAGGCTTATTACCGTATTCCTGAAGCGGCAGTTGCATGACATGACTGCGCCTCGAACGTAATGCAACATATAATCTTTGCGATAAAGAAAAGAAATTTTTCGTTCTTCCGCAACGCTTTATGGGAAATAATTCAATATTATGGTTTCTGAATAATGTTAACCTTTAGTACAAACAATGATTTTCTGTTTTTTTTTTTACTACACACGATAAGTAATACATCCGGGTTAATTTTTATCGCACAAATAATATAAAAATACGATATGAAAATTATTAGAAATTATTAAATGATTCTTACATATATTTTAACATCTTTAGAAACTATTTGTAAGGTTATTTAAAAAATTCTATATAAATGTTATAACTAATTATAGTCAACACAAATGACTCAATCGTATGTACTAAAGATTAACAAGCTCATTTAAAATTATTTGACAACTGCGTGATGGTTAACATTGTCAATAATTGCAATTATTTATTTTAAATAATTATAAGCTTGTTAAAAACTTGATACTCTTTATTACAATAAATGATTTAGTTTTTTAATATTTTGTGACAGCTTGAAGAATCGATAAGCAATTGAACTCATCATCAAATTAAATTATTCATTATTAAATTGTGAAAATTCGGAGGAAGAAAACCAGAAGGATAAAGATTTCTGACGAGACACATGGATATTATATTAAAATCCATCGATAAAATTAAGACATTAATGTATACAATGTATATGTAATATAATACGTATGCAATATGATGCAATATAATAAAATTTCAATGCAAATTTATTCACATTTATTGAAAATATAGGTGCTGCATGCGGTGTTTTTTTTTTCTTTGAAATTGTGAATTAAACCCGGCTTCACAAACGGAAGGCGTTAACTGACGAGTATTTATATCAGTCTGGAAGCGCAGTTCGAGTTCTCACAGATTTGGTTAACTGCATAGTTGATTATGCAAACGCCTTCTTCGAATTAATTTTCGGTATTGATGTATCCCGAACGGGGCGAACATAAAATTCAATACCCTCCAATTTCGCGCGGTGCGTAACGCTCGGCGCAAGGTGTGTATTTGCAATTTCTAATTTGCCGTACATTATTGGATAAAGAGCGCAATAAATCGGCGAGTCCGGTAGAGGGTCCTATTGGGGTTTAATTACAGCGTGGCCAGCGGTGCGCAGAACCTGTTTGAACGCCGTTCGAAGGAGTCCGTTTGGACGTAGCGCGAATTTACATTCTCCGTACTAAAGCTATCCCGCAACGCGGCCGCCGATCGTTTATAAATAATGTATCAGGGCTCCCGCAAGAGAATTCTGCAGGTGGTGGATGCACGAAACTCGATATTCGCACGACAGTATATCTTTTCGTTCTGTGCGATCGTAATCGACGTCGCAAAAACAGAGAAGCGCGTATTTTATAAAGAGCTTTATTTTAAAGCGCCAAAAAGATTTCTTCTTTGAGGATAACTTAATTAAAAAATATATATGTCACTGTTTTTGCAGATATAATTAATTAAGTCTCCATGTTCTCTTTGATTTTCGTATCTAATTTTAAATTCTTTTCAAACACTTGAAGAATTATCAAAATCAACGACATTTATCATGTATATATAAGTATTTATTTCTTAGACTAATACCAAATATTTTCTAAGAAGCAATTTTTAAGGAATCTACATATGTTTATCTTTAAATTTTTGCGTTGCCTCTTAAATGGAATCATTCATAAGTTCATTTCTTCGGCGATTCCCTCGAAAAAAAAAACGCAAACCCAGAAAGCCAGGAAAAATACGCCGGTCTCTCGAGGCGAATCTGCGAAACCGTAAGAAGCGAAAAATACACCGGTCTCTCGAGCGGAACTTGTACCGTAAGAAACAATGTCCGGGGTCGATTTACGTTTATATCGCCAGTTAGGTCCAATTAACACCGTCGCACGCGGTAACGTCGCGCGGTCGATTCTCGATTTACGTACAAGGATCGGCTTACTTACTCCCGTATGGCATCCCGGCTACGGGAATCGGGGATATTCGCGCGTCGATTCATCGTCGGATAACGACCGGCTGATTAACGATCGCCGAGCTCACCCCGGCAAGGCAAGGAGTCGGTGAAAGCAGTGACAGTCCCGGTCGCGATTGAACTCTGACCCGCGTGAAGACGACGACGACGACGACGAAGACGATGAATCCACGAAATTAGAAGCGGTGTCCGGTTCTCTATGAGTCAAGTGATAGATAGTGTCATCTCACACGAGTGCCATTGCCGGTTGCTTACGACCGCGCGGGACTTCGATAAGTCCTGACTGCTTGCAGTTATAGGTATAGGCACCTTCTGCGCACTACGGCGTATCTCCCGTTTCTTTTTTTTTTCGTCGTACGTTCGCCGGTGTTTCTCTACCGGTATTAAAATAATTGATTACGAACCGCCGTACATATACGTCCGGCGAATTAATTAACTGTGATTACGTGAATTTATATGCCGCACTCTTGCTCCATACGCACGTCTGTGGTTGTGTGTGTGTGTGTGTGTGTGTGTGTGTGTGTGTGTGTGTGTGTGTGTGTGTGTGTGTGTGTGTGTGTGTGTGTGTGTGTGTGTGTGTGTGTGTGTGTGTGTGTGTGTGTGTGTGAGAGAGAGAGAGAGAACATGCACATATGAATTGTAAAAAATATATTATCTAATATCCGAATAAATAAACGTTTCTTTCTTTTTGTCTCTACAAAAAATTGTAAACCTTAAACATATACTTGTCTGCAAAAATAGTCAATGTTATTAATTTTACAACCTTACTAATTTATGTTGAAAGATTTCTGTTTCAAAGTTATTACTTAAAACTCCATTTAAAATCGAGAATCGTATAATATATACATACAAATTATTTTACTATGATTACAGTACCTGAAATCACGAAAGTAGGTATACGTAATACCTCTTGCAGGAAACTATGTAAATCTATCATGAAGCTAGATTTCTTCGATGACACGCCGCGATAATCAGTAAATTAGTTTAACAAGTGCTTGCTTTAATATCCAGCGAGATACTGCTGGGCCGCTTCCCGCCGCGATGATGATTGCAAAGCTAAACGTGCCGCATTACGCACGTGCGTAACGTCATCGATTATACCGACGACGACGGCAGCGCGAAAACACGAACGACCGAAACACCCGCGCCGAGAAATTATAAGCGGAATCGACTAAATTTTTTTTTAATGCTTTAAGATTCGTTGAAATCTCGACTTCTGGCGACACGCGGATCTTCCGACGCGCGTACCTCGAGCGTAGCCAATTTTCACCGCGATCACGCGCCGCGATTTCACCACCGTAGCCGTGAATTACGTTCCGCAGGATCGATTTGATGGTACTCTGATGAAAGAAACGACGATTTCCGGCGGCGGTAATCTTCCGCGCCGGAGAGCGTCTCGTCGATCCGCGCGAATAGACAAGATGGGCAAAGAGAGATTCGCAGCATCGCAAATTTTCAATTTGCGAACATCCCCGGACGTATCCCCCGACTTCTGACGCATTTACGCCGTCACGAAAGAATCCTAACTACGTAACTACATCAAATCATTATCATTCAACGTCTGTTCCAAGCGGCGGGCGCCAACGCGAAGGCGCGCAACTTCCGGCTACCGGCTCCGCGGTGCGGCGTATCGCGCGACTGGCCTTGACACCTGTTGCTGAGATCGGCACACGAGGAGATTGCAGTGTCATTCGTTTGATTAGTCGTGAAATTAATATTGAAGTATCGCTCGTGAGTTTGCGGAAAACGATCTTTACCTGCTCGATGAAAGGAAAAAATGTGGAAACAATCATCCACGAGAATATCAAATAAAACTCTTGTTCAAATATATATATATAGAAAAAAATGCTATGCTCAAGTATTCAATAAATACTTTTCTTATAAATATAAGACTTTCAATAATTATTAAGAACGTTATGTACATTAACGTAGAATTTTTTCTAAAACAAATTTTTTTACATTCTTTTTTTCGAAAATTTTCACATGGATCTGCGATCAAGATTTATAAATACCTGGATAAAAACGAAACTTTTTGTATTGTATAATTAGACTGTCAGAATAAAAAATTTCCTTTCGCAAACACGTTTAATTGATCGTGGACCCGAAGTAGAAGCCGGATCGTGTCACGATATCGTCTTGCCTTTCTCTTCGAGGGAAATCAGCACCGCTGTATTGTTTCTT